TGTACAGTATATATAGTGACGTAGTCTAAACGTCCTTTAAAGCTACCTCAAGCGAATCCTGGCAATATATAGTGCCTAATTTTCAAACCCTTATGGCACACAGTAAAGGAATTTATTGTATAAGAACCTAAACTAGAATATCAAATAATAAGAAAAGCGTGGTGATTAATGCTTATTCTTTCATCGCGTAAAAAGAGGACTTCGTTCAACAATGGGGTAGTCACAGGATTAAGATAATTTATACTTCTAGTTTAACAAATGACAATGACCAAATTTGTATGGAGCGTGGTGTCTTTTCATTTTTTCGCGGCAGTTGAGCGGATGTGGAAAAACTGATGCAGCATAACATTACAAACAAAATAATATATGGGGTCTTCGAACCGAGTTAAATCAGTTCAAAGATGTGAAAATAGTGCTATATAATGTTCATGGTGACCGTCCACAACGTATATTTTTCTTCATTTACGTGTCAGAAATATTTTGAAATAAATGTTTATAAACGATTTCAAGGAATTTATTAAAGCTTGTTGTGGACATTTTTTTTTTTGTTTTCATTTTTTTTGTTATAAGGCCAAGGAATCAGAACCATTGATTCAGAATTACAGACCATCAGAGTGAACCATTTATTGGTCACTGCTGAAGTAAATAGAAAAACATTTCGCTTAATTGGCTAGCGTGTTCACTTTATATGTTATGGTTTATGACCTATGGCAGATTTTCATGATCAATTTCCTCTCAGTCGAAAACCCGCAAAATACTTTACTGAGCCCTAAATGAAATGCTATGTTTGTCCGATGCGGCGTCGGTAGCGGATTGAGTAGCGGCAGACGTCAAAACACGAAAAAATCATTTTTCTGGCTATTTCTCCCGACTTACTCCCAATTAGTAACAAATCCAACTACAGGGAATACACTAATCTCCATTCAGTCACAAAGTGATGGATTATATTCCGACTGATTACATTATATGAAAAAATTATGCGCTCATCTGAATATGTATATATTGTGGTGTGATGTGGTGTGCCTGTGCCAGGTGTACAGTGGCGCGCAATTTGAAGTTAGGAATTGTGACAAAAATATGAATAATTTGAATAAAAAAACCAATGTAAAATGTTTGACTCCAGCTCCTTTCAAACCTCATAACTCAGTCTAGACTGAGATTTCCATATAAGAGCCCATAGACAATTTCGTTTGTAATGTCATTCTACATAATATTTTCCATAAATCATCGACTGCCGCCAGAAAAAAGAAAGGCACCAATTTTAGTCAATGCCCTTTATCTGGTATTTCCTATGGATAGTCACCAAGAGTTACAACATGGCTTCCTCCATTGTGAACTTATAATACTTCTCAAGCCACCATCCAGCAGGTGATTAGCAAACTCCTTTATAAGACGACTTTGTTTAGCAGTGGACGGATATTGGCTGATGGTGGATCAACTGTTTATATAGGTGCCTATTGCAAAAAATATGCAATAAGTAAAATAAAATTATACTGATTCACATTTATTACGTGAGAGGCAAAATTGACACAATTACCTACATACATTTTCTGTGGAACAATATAACCAATTCATATGTTAACTTTTAAATAAGGTTAAGTAATTATATGCAACACAGATGTTACAACTGTATGTTGTACATAGGTACTCAATTACTAATTCAATACTATATTATAGTATAACAATGAAATACCTATATTGTTACAGTATTGTGTTCAATATTCTTTTTTTCTTACAAAAAAAAAACATTAATTTACCAAACAAATCACTATCACTACATAGTATAAAACAAAGTCGCTATCCGCCGTCTGTCTATCCCTATGTATGCTTAGATCTTTAAAACTAAGCAACGGATTTTGATGCGGTTTTCTATGATAGAGTGATTCTTAAGGAAGGTTTGTATGAATAATACATGCATATTGCACCCGTGCGAAGCCGGGGCGGGTCGCTAGTATTACATTAATAAACGTCTCCATAGTTACTTTTGGCATGTTTGGACCAATATTATATTCTGATATGTGAGATTAATAGTGTTGAAATAGATAACAAAATAATAATTAAAGGTGCTACTAGTGCCATCTAGTATGAACTATGTGTACCTACTTGTTTAAACGAATAAAAATCGTCACTCTGCACCCAACTACCTGTAGTTTCATTAAATAGTTCGCGTCCTATAAAATGGACACTAAGAGAAAATGGTCAGCTCATGTTTTGTATATGGGTACACTCATGCATGAGACTATTATTATGTTTTAGTATAAAACAAAGATTTCTGTTAAAAAATAAAAAAGAAACAATAAGGTGTTCACCAGCATTATTTTTATTTGACGCGACCTATGTACATACATATGAGCAGCGACTTACCACATTTTTCTTCCAAAAGTTGTTTAGCAAGGACAACCTGTGACTCAGCGCAACCATCTTCAGCAAGTTGGTTCCTTAGTCTTCTCAAAGATCCTTGTGGTCCATCTGAAGCAAGGAGAACCTCAGAAAGTATAACTACTAAAGCAACTACAAGCAACATAAGAAGTTTTATACAAAAAATTTTTGAATAGTGCCCGAGGTATTTTGATCAGCAGTTATACTTGTAACTACTTAACTAATAAGGCAGTGAAAGAAAGAGCAAAGGAAACATTAAGACAATTACATTATTATGTACTATAAAACAAACTCCGTTTTCGGCTGGCTGTATCTCTATTGTACAATCTTTTTTTAATTTTGCAACCAATTTTAATATGTATAAGCAATGGAACGGGATATTACTGCTTACATTGTTTTATTTACTCACAGTAGGAACTATATTATTCTTTGAAATATTATTTTTTATGTTATCATGAAGTCAAAGAGTAATAAAAATGAATGCAGTAAAAGTATGCCAGTTGTATTGTATCTATTTTGGGTACAGTTAAAATTACCCCTGCTGTAATATAATTATCAACATTTTCATATCATACATTGAAACTGATGTAACACACTTTTTGTATCTAGTATGCCAATTATAAATATTTCAATTTATTAAAGTTTTGACTGCCAATAGAAAACTATTGAAGGCAAATCCTTATCTAACGTCATCACCGGTGACCTTCATGGTGTTTAATGTGAAACACTTACACACAGCAATTTCTTACACTTAGCCATTGATTTCGATGATGCCGCCTATGTAGCATTTGATTATAGTAAAAATCTGAGATAAGTTTCATTTGCGCCAAGCTTGTGTGGTTTTTCATACTTATTGAGCATTGGTTAAAGCCAAAAAAAACAAAGTAAAGTTTGTATAATTTTAAAATTGTGCTGATTAAATTGAGATTACCTTTAGTGAAACCATTATTATTGTAATGTCTAAATAACCAAACTACCTACTTTCTATACTGAATATTAACATCTATCACAAAAGAAATGGTTTATGCCAAAATAGATATTTTTAATAATACTCGAAATGATGATTTTTTTTAAATATTGGTGGAATTATTATAATAGACTGACCTTTACGATACAGGCTATATAGCGGCAAAGGTATATTAGATTAGGTACTTACTTACCTGCAGACCAATTAGGTGATTAGTACGTAATCTATTTTATTGAATAATTAGAAAGTCCAATATCCATTATCAGTCTTACTTATCGATTAAATTATAAACTTAAAGAATGTATGTTTAATTTCAAAGTTATACATAAATAATAAGCACTAAAACAAACCATAAAACCTTTAAAATTAATCTGACTTACCATGTAGGTTCCAACGTTTCCGACCCACTGGCATTACTCAATAAATTCACAAACAATATCCACACAAATTATATTCAAATACGGTAAACTGCTAATAAAATAAATACAATATTATAGACACTTGGATATACTTGTTTGTTTTGATTATTTACAACACAACAATACTTTACATTGGTCGCGATTTTTTTCGTTTGATTTTGTCAATATGTCAATGTCATTAAAAATGACAACAAATCGCAATAGTTGCAGATTGCAGGGCTTATAAACGCGATTCTCGCACAGACGATGAAAAGAATAAAATATTTATAGGATAAGGCAATTTTAATTGCTCTACGAAATTATTAATTAGTGTCCATTTAATTTACTAGCAATTCATTTGGATAACTTTAAACAAGAAAGCAAATTGACACAGTATTTTATGGCCACGCAACTAACCCACGCAATCCTCCCACACAAAGAGGTACAGGATTTCTTGTCTAATACAATAGTTTTTGTAGAGTTTCCTGTGAAGGTAAAAATAGCAACAGGCTGAAAATAAACATTTTTAATATCCTGCCATGATCCTCCCCAGTCCAAGCAAACTTTTAAATCCAAATTTGAAGCCTTGCAATACATACGCAACGCTTCTTATAAAAATAGTTGAATCGAGACCATAGACTTACAATAAGCAGACCAAACATAATTCCTAGTTATGAACGTATATGATTATCCATCATTCTTTGTGCTTGTTCTGTCAAGCACCAACCTACTTATGGCGTCTCGTTCTTTTACCTGTAAGCACACTGCTCCACACATAGACAAATATTGATATGTAGCCAGTTTTTCGCGTGCCGCCATATTGCTATCTTAAAAAAAAACCGTGTCAATCTCGATAAAAAAGAAAATACTAATTGTTTCTACCATTAAGCGTTTGAATAATCTAAAATAAAATGGTGAAGTGCAGTGCGAACCGATGCGACAGCAATAGCTATAAGAAAATACCTGAAACAACCTTTCATCGATAAGTTTTTATTTACGTTGTTGTAGACTATAACAAATTGTTGATTGTTTGAAATAAATCAATTGTTTTGATAATGTAGTATATGTAGTAGGTAGTTTATAACGAAACCTTAAAAAAAAAAAAAAAAAAAATATATATATAATGTACAAAAATAATAAACAAATAAAATTAACTTATGCTTTCATTCATGACAGTTTAAGTACTCGTAGAATCAACAGAGGACGAATTTATTGTTTCGAAAAGTTAAACTATTAAATATATTGTTTTAATAATAACTATCGTGAGACATACTAAATTAAGTACAAACGTGTGCGCGGTCGCGGCGACGTCGCGCAGCTCACTCAGTGAGTGAGATTGTTTTTATTTTGAGTAATAGTTAGTTGTATAATCTAACAAACTTCTTTTTTACAATTGTATTATAGTTGTCATGTTATTTTCCCACTATGTATCAATTTTATCATCAGATAATATCATTATATACCTACTTCAAATGTTTAGGAATGTACAACAAAATTTAACAGGACAATACAAGGAAAGAACTTGTCTTGGGATTGGTCAGTGTTATTAAGGGGAGGGAGATGACTATTACCTTCTATTCTTAACCACAACAATTGCCTTAAATAAATCTTTTATATACATTTTCTTTAAAACACTTGGGCCATGGAGTCCCAGTGCACACTCTGTGTTTAAAGATATCGCCCGTAGGCTAATCGACTCTACGCGTGACCAGAGGGCTGGCTTTTTCTTCGGACAGAAAATAAGCATTGCCATTCAACGTGGCAATGCTGCCAGTCTTCTGGGAACGTTCCCCTGTGATAGTGATGCGGACTTTGACGCCTAAATTAAGGGTATAATTTTTGTTGTATTCTTTTTTACTTTCGTTTTATTTAATAGTTTAGTTGTAGTTAATTTTAAGTTGTAAATATTTATGTAGTTATTAATTTCATTTATATCTTTATTTAATGTGTCAATAAAAATCTTGTAATAATTTTCTTTATTATGAGGATATTAAAATTATTTAATACACTTATGTATTCAATAATTTATAAAACTATGTTTTACAATTCCTAAATCTAGTATAAATATAGTTTGGGAATGTTATAAATTTCATAGGGTACTTATACATTTATATTAACATTAAATAAATCTTTTATACATTTTCTTTATACATAAATAAAAATTATAGTAAAAATAGACATTTATTCTATATAAATAATATTTATAAATATTGACTATTAATCCCAAAAATCTGAAATCACGCTCTCTACCTAGGTATACTAATAGTATACTTTATTTCTAATTGCGCATGTGTATTTCTGGCTTCACAAATTTTAGGTAATGTTGGGTTCGCTTACCTATTTTAAGTCTGTGATCGAGACAATAGATGATCGAAGAATAAGGCCCAATGGATAAATACTTGGGTACCTATAAAATATAAAATAAGTATTTAGGTATCCAAAATGATAAATAAATATGACGTTTTCGTTTCGAATATTTTTTATTTTTATAATAAGTATCGTGAGACATAATAAATTAACTAAAAAATCGCGGGCTACTCACGTGAATATACTGAGAAAAGCTATAAAGGTTCAAAACTAGTAAAGCTTTTCTCAGTAAGTATATTTTTTGTTAATTGAATATTTTTTTATTAAAAAATGAGTCGTAATGTTAATTGGGCGTTATAATGTTTAAAGTTAGACCACTACTATAAGCTTTTATTGAATATAAACTGTCTCCGTCACGATGTTTGACTATGTCTGCCTGATAAAATATTAACAGTGATACGATTTCTACCCGTTATAGCTACTGTTCGAGCGAAAACATAATCTTAACTCGTCGAGTATCGTCATTATAGACACAATTATAGAACAATAGGTTGCGGTCACCGGTGACCGCTTGGTGTTTCACAGTTTAATTAGTTAAAATTTGTCCAGCTTCTTATTCTATTCAAAATCATTATATACTTGAAATACAATCATTTGAGCTCCACTCATGGTTGTTTTTTGCATGTTTAATGAACTTCTAAATTTTATTGACTTAAATTGAAATCCAGTACCTTTTTAACATAAAACGATTCGCAAAACAAACTCGATCACAGGCACAGCTGATGGCATTCAATTTCCTTCGTACTTTCATTATGCGCTGCCAAAGTTTTTATGTAGTTATTTCCTTAAACATTCGTGGTCATTTTTAAATAGACAAACTATAACAACATTCAAATTCAAATCTATGACAATTTGGTTATTCCACATATTTTCTTAGAGCTATTGCTGTCATATCGGTACGCACAGCACTTCACAATTTTATTTTAGATTTTTTATACGTTGAATGGTATAAACAAATAATATTTTCTAATAAAACGATATTGACACAGTTATAGGTAAAAGCTTGTTGATATGGCGGCACGAAAAACTGGCCTCATGTCATAATTTGTCTATGTGAGCAGTGTGGCTACAGGTAAACGAACGAGATGCCATTATTAGGTTGGTGCTTGACAGAACAAACACAAATAATGATGAATATCATAACATATATTTTACTAAGAATTAATGTTTGGTCTGCTTATCCATTATACGTCTGTGTCTTCATTTTTGTCATTTCACATCCAAATAATTCCTTGAAATCGTAAGAATGGAAAGATTCTAAACATAGAGGAAAATAATAATATTTTATACAAGTCTTTAATCCTTGTTTATGCGTATGTTTGAGTTCTAAAATGAAATAGTCAAATAATTTCATTTCATTTACTTAACAATATTTTTTATCTGTGATCAAGTCTGTGATAGAGTAAAGCATAACCTGTGTACTAAAAAGTATTGATCTTTACGTCACATCCTTATTATTGATTGTCTGTCTGTCAGTGTCAGACGAAAACTGAAAAACGCGTCGCTGTGCGCATGCTGTGCGCAATTTTTGTGAAAGTAAACAATTTAATTAAAGTAATATATTACGTGTATTTTTCGTATTGATCAAAATATCGTAATGAAAAATTAACGTCAGTGTGATAGCAAAATGTTGACCCCACGCTTCAAGTTAACACAGGACGATAATCACGTCTTCATCACCGTGCACGCTCCATACACAAACATCGGCGACACAGAAATAGACGTGGACGGCGAACATTTTCTGTTTGTCTCCAGTCCGTACTTCTTGCGGCTGCGTCTGCCTGGCCGGATTGTCGACAATGATAGTTCCAAAGGCTCATACATTTGCGATTCTGGCGACTTCAATTTAACCTTTGACAAAGAAACCCCAGGTGAGCATTTTGAAAACTTGGACATGATCACGAGCTTGTTGGCTCCTAAGGATATACCGGATATTAATCCTAATCTCGTAGAAATGCTAGAAGAGGATGGCATCACTCTAGAAAATGAAAACAATGAAGTTATTGACTACAGTAACAAGTATTCATATGGATTTGCTAATAAATTAACAACTGAGTTTAGCAACATCGGATCTGAGTTCCCACAAATATTTGAATTAAGGGTTCCCGAAACTGTGTCTATTGAAGACAGAACAGCTAAAAGAATCAAGCATGAAGATGATAAGTTTTCCTCAGACCACTATTTAGCTGATTTTTATGATGAAGAACTCCTGGAACCGTTTCTAACAGGTATAGTCTCATGGAATAAACCAAATTTTAACAAAGAGATAGAATTTACTGATGATGAATTGGGTGTGTTGAAAGAGTTACCAAATAAAAACTTTTTGCTGAGTAAAACTGAATATAAAGAAGTTCTCTATGGATTGGTTGATATCTTGTATGCTTATTGCTATGACAAGCGAAGTACTCTGAATGAGAGTACAGTGGAATCTGGATGGACTATAAATAAATTGTCTGCAACCCTGAGCTGGTTCTGTACATTTAGAGACATGAGGGAGGTCCTCACTACCTGTTATAGACGGGCTTTAATATACCCAATATTTAGAAACTATGACCTTTGTGTTAAAGTAAGGAATGATCTTGTATCCCTCTTCAAACTCGGGAAGAAATTCATTGTCAAATGTATGATTGAAATACACCAATTGTTTAATGCAAGCAATGATGCAAGATACATTTTGAATCAATTATACATCAGAGACTATTTGATTTTCCTACAAAAATGTAGGAACGAGGAATTGGATGAACTTTGCAATAATATTGCAAATATTGAAATATCGAAAGATGATCTAGAACTGGACATTGTGGAGCTAGAAGAAGCTGCGGAGTTAGTGAAACAAGAGGAGGTTGATAGCATTGTGGAAAATGAAGTTGCTGTGAAGATGGCTTCCATGTCCTTGCTGAAAGGTTTACATCGAACAAATCCTGTGTACATTGAGGGTGATAGTGACGAATTTGAGTCAGATTCAAGTGATTCGTCTGACTCGTCTGATTCCTCTGATGATTCGTCGGATGAGCTGGACTCTGATGATGATCCCTCCTGACAAAGATATGGCTTGTAGCAATCAAGCAGCAAAGGCTTGTGAACGATTGAGACTGATAGCATAAGAGGAGCAAGTAATACAGCAATCAGTGGTACGGACAGTATAATAGTTTGTTGAGTATGTGAACCGAAGTGAATCTCAATGCAAACGTTTCTCAAGCCGTGACTTTTAGTGTCATAAGAAAAGACAATTGAATTATTATAAGTGTTTCTGCATTTTATCATTCAATATTATGTGTAGCTTCGGAATAAATGTGATCAAATATAACCTCCGTAATTGAATCAGCTGAATGTAATATTTAATTCAATAAAGAATTATTAGAAATTAAATAAAATAATGTGTGTTATATTTTCATTAATTATAGTTGCTACAAGATGGCCATTGTTAAACATCTTTTAATATTTTCGATATCAACTGGTTGGAAGTGCCGTCATCTAGCGGCTCTCTCTGAGCTTACTCAGGTTCATCTTGCCACTTGACAAAATTTTTTTTTACACTATTTCGATCTGCCATCAGCTATTCAGCCATAATGAAAACCTCACCGCATCAGCCATTGGTACTCCGTACAATTATACTACTCGATCTAGCTAGGATTAATTTTCAGGAAATGGCGTTTAGGTACTAAAAAAACACCAGTCAAAGCTCTGCCATCCAGGTACCTACTTAATAATTCTTGGTACAAGGTCCGGTTCAAATTGAATGTTTGAAATACCTATAGGTACCTACCGTGTTGGCTAAGTCTCTTAGTAGTAAAAAGGGTTAAAAACCGCCAGATTTGCATCGAGAATAGGATGGTACGGCTGGCACTTTTTTGTTCAATTTAGAGAAGGCACTGCCGTGACCCCAGTGATTTTATGTTTTTAATGACCTTTTTACCAACCTCTCCTTTTATGGAACTCGTATGCTATGTGATACAACGTCATTTCGGGTTTCATTTACCTTTTTTGAATGGGAAAAATCTTTCAATGACTTTCCGCACCTTGGATTAGGCGACAGGGTGTGTCGGACTCTTACTGACTAAAAACCATCTCGTTCTTAGTACGTTTTCACCAACCTAGAATTGGCACCTAAACATTACAATCAAGGAGTTCGTTTAGATGTTATGTATGTTAATGTTACACTAAGTAACTCTTAGTTAAGAGATGGTTCAGGAGTTATTGATAAACAGCCATTAGTTCTTTTAAGTTTTGACGTCTATTTTTGAAGCCTAAGTAGGTATTTATAGTTTATGTTTTAACGTAACATAACTACACGCCTTTTATCCCCGAAGGGGTAGGCAGAGGTGAACATTACGGCACTTAACTCGTCGAGTACCGGTTTTGCAGACACAATTATAGAACAATAGGTTGCGGTCACCGGTGACCGCTTGGTGTTTGACAGTTTAAACTAACTGACAGCAACCTATTGTTCTTTAATTGTGTCTATAATGACTGTACTCGACGAGTTAATGCCATTGTACAATATGACACTCACTTTTCACTATTTATGTTATGAGTCCCATGTAATAGGGGTGAGCCTATTCCCATTATACCGGGCACAGTTCAAAAAATCTCACGCACGCACGGCACGCAGATTCCGTGCTACTACTGAGATTTTTTGAAAAAAACCCAATAATACTTTGCCCGACCCGGGAATTGCACCCGAGACCCTTTGCCTGTCAGTCGTGTATATTTTATTACCTAAAAAAGTAAAACTCAGTAGGTAAGTACTTATTGAAATACTCCTCTGAATCCCTTCCGGCTGGAGGCCTGAGGCTTTTGTCGACTTACCTCCCTGTGTAATTACGCCACGGTCAGTTTGTATTTAGAATTGTCTTACCGCCGTACTCAGAGTCATTTAATGGCTACTAAACCCACTCTAGCAATTGTTTTCGGTACAAAATCGATACTAAGGAATAGTTTAAGTAGTCATTAAATGTCTCTGAGTATCGCAGTTAACTACTAATATTATAATAATTATACCAGGCGAGATATTGGTCAAACGTCGGCCCATCAAATATAAAAAGGCATTATCTCACTAGGTAGGCATCTATTACTATGCAATTCAAATTCAATACTTTTTTCGAACTGTCAAATTGTGACTGGTTTTCTTTGAATTTTGTACGAGATTCGGTATTGTGACGTTACGATTTTGTAGCGTCAAACACCATACTTATTTTTTAAGAATTTGCTAGAAAAATACTAAAAATAAGTTGGTCATAAATCTATTAATGAAATTGTGATTATTTTTTAATATTTTTTGTATTGAAGTACCTACCTAATTTATTTTTGATCTAAGAAAGTACTCAATTATGCAGTCGTGTTTGCGAAACCTCATCATTGGTTGATTTAGTGGGCAGAAACATGTTGTATGTACTTTCCAGTAATGTTCTGAATTCAAATTTTCTGTACCATTTCGGTACTATAGTTAGGTACATTAAATAAAATAACCAATACATTTATCAACGTTTATTTAGCTTACATGTGTAGTTATAATATAAGTACCTATGTAGATTACAAAAAAATACTGTACCTAGCTAGGGTTTTTGCTCCGTACATTTTTAAGTATTGTCTTTTTTTCGTCCTTTATTACCTTCGATAATTTGGTAACACATCTCCGTAAATATAATTGCCATACACGCTATAGGCTTCCCAACCGAAATTATAATAAATGGGAACGTATTCTCCCCGCCATGCTATCGGTGCCGCATACTTCGTATCCTCAAATCTATCGTCCAACCACGCGTATTTACTTAAACCTTTGAATCCGTCATATAAGAAGTCCAGTACTGGATATGTATCTAGCACAGTGAAATAATGAGTTGTTTGAAATGCTCGAAGTTTTAAAGAGAATGAACACAGTCCGGCCAACCCGTCGTGACGTCGTGATTTCCCCTCCATCATCATATGCATAGCGCCGCCCGAATCAAAACCAAATTTGCCCCAATATTCTCCCATTATGCAATGAAACCAATGCCAATCGCTCTAGAAAAAAAATCGTGAATGAAAATTGGTACACACTTATACATACCTACCTTTTTTTTGACGGAGGTAAGCTTCAAAAGCCGCCTAGCTTTTTGGGGAAAAAAGACTAGGGAGTGTGGGATTTTTACCTCCCTGGTGGCCACCATCCGCACCTGAAGGAGGCACCGTATATACCTTTGTTTTTTGACGGCGGAAAATCATCCAATAACTTCTGCCGCCCGGGTGAGGCGAGAGGGAGTGTCAGACTCTTACTGACTAAAAACCACCCCGTTCCTACTCCTGCACTTCGAGAGGTAGGTAAATAACTATTGCATAGTAATATGGTGGCAAACGAGTAAATAGGTACTTAGGGAGACTGATCACCTGATGGTTGGTAATAATAATATGCACCCCATGGTCACCCGCAACACAAGTATGTTATAAGCCTTTTAGATGGCCCGTAGCTCTACACGCTAGCTTTTGCATGACCATTACCAATACCTTATACTGCATTTAACCCTCTGCAACAGACGTGGTTAAATTGTTACAATTCAACTGAGGTATATTATACCAGACACCATTTCAACAGCAAATATTTTTGTAGAATTAAAGTATAGCGAGCACTATACAGTAAGGTACTCGCAGCAGTGATGCTCGTATTGAAAAATGACGGTATAACACGTGATTTTGTATTTCGCGGTGTCTGTGGGACTACACGTCAGCTGAAGACGGTTAAGCAAAGTTTTGCAATTTCCTCATAATTGAGCTAAGGGACGGTGACGATGTGTGTAGGTTTGGCAACAGGCTAGTGCTGAAAACCAGCGCCGCGACTCGAGCATCGCGCTCGTGACACGGCTTTTTAGCTGAGCACTGGCCTTTTTGCACCGTGTGCACTGTTTTTCTTTAAGTACTTTTTTCTTGTTTTTTTTCTGTAACAACATAACATAACATCACGCCTTTTATCCCCGAAGGGGTACGCAGAGGTGCACACAGAAGTAACCACTCACTTTTCACTAATTTATGTTATGAGTCCCATGTAATAGAGGATGAGCCTATTGCCATATACCGGGCACATTTCCAGGCTCCGTGCTACTACTGAGAATTTTTTTAAAACCCAGTAATACTTTCCCTGACCCGGGAATCGAACCTGAGACCCTTTGCCCGGCAGTTGCACTTGCGACCACTCGGCCAACGAGGTAGTCATTTCTGTAATGGTGCAAATATACTGGTTTTCTTTCTTTCTTTCTTCTAGGGCACCTCAAGTACCGCAGGTGAGTTCGTTCATTCGAGTACTCAGTGCCTCTCTCATTGTTTTCTGGGATTGAGTGTGGTTTTAGTCGGTAAGAGTCCGACATAACCTGCTGTCTGACGCTCATTGTCTAGACAAAGGGTATCGATGAGGATTTCCACACGTTAAAAAAAAGGACGCCTCAAGTATAAAACTAAGTATTTACTTTAATGGGTGACAATGAAATAGGTACCTAATAATACATTTATAATGACAAGGTTACCGACATGTGAAATGTGGATTCGGCTATCATATGTCGATAGCAAGTGTCGGCGATTGGATAAATTCCTAACAGCCTAGAAAGATGGGTCTTAGGAGGCTGGCGTTAGTGGCGTTAGGCGGATGAATCAAGGACCTGATACAACGGCAGTTCGTCTAGAAACGTCACGTATCGTGAGGAGGTTACTGTCTCTAGAGCCCTAACCACCGGTAGCTCCGACAATGTTTTCGCTATTATTCGGCTCCTATTTTTAACTTACTTCCCAAAAAGGACCAGGTTATCAATTCGGAAGACGAAATTAAGAAAATAGCGGGCTCCTAGTGAACTACAGTAACACAAGACAAGTGGAATACTTTAGATGAGGTCTTATGCCATTAGGGATTCTTACAGAATGCAAACTATCCAACACTAACAATAAATTAACTTTAAGATTTTAATTTATAATAAACTAGTGACCCGCCCCGGCTTCGCACGGGTGCAATATGCATGTATTATACATACAAACCTTCCTTAAGAATCACTCTATCTATTAAAAAAAACCGCATCAAAATCCGTTGCGTAGTTTTAAAGATCTAAGCATACATACGGACATACAGCGAAAGCGACTTTGTTTTATACTATGTATTGAAGAGAAATGTAAAATTAACTGTGAGAAAGAAATGGCTTATATATTTAATTTATTTTAAGTTATTTTATTGATAGAATAATAAAATTAATGGTCAGTTACCTTCGGACAAGGCCATACGTATGATTTCGTTCGAACAGCGTATTTATACCAAGGCATAGGTCGACGATGATATGACTTCATAAATTGAAATCCAACAACGACAGATAGATCATGTTGTCGAGGAATCGTTGAAGCATATTCATACCTGGAAACATTCAGTAAATTATTAGATGTTTTGACACTAGGTTTATGTACGATTTAACGTAAGTACTTAACTCTTTGAATTAGATCAGAATGCCAACTGACACCTTGGGTCTTTAGTTTGCTATAAGGTACATTAGGCGATAGGCATACAGTGAGTAGGTTAATTTATATTGGAATTGCATATTTTTTTTATTGATAAAATACCTAGAAACGCTAAGAGGTGAAATGGGGTTGTCATATCTTTGTACATAGGTTAGTCTCAAAGTCTGTTATATTCGAAGTTAAAAGTACATATCGGCCATAGGACGTCTACTGCTGAACGTAAGCCTCCACCAATGACTTCCAGATAGGCTGGTTGAAACTGACCTGCATCCAGCGGCCCCCTGCGACCTTAATCAGGTCGTCGGTCCACCTTGCGGATGGACATCCTACGCTGCACTTGCACCAGCAAGCCGGTCACGTAACGACGTGGAATCCACTCGAGAACCTTTCTGCCTACCCGTTGCGCTTTAGGGAGTATCTAAGCCTAATGCCGTATATACAGAGTACAAAGAATTGTACCCTGTATATGATATTTAGAAAGATTGTGTGCTACTACGAGAATTTCCAGAAAACTGAAATCCAACTCATCCAATTCAACTTACCACCCTGAAGCCGCTCTAGGACATATGACTGCCTTTGAATACGAAAAGGTACTTCCATAGAACCGATGAGTAGCAGCCCACAGGGAAAGATCGTACATCACCGGAATTGGGTGCGACACATTCACTTCATAGTCATATTTATACTGTAACCAAAACGCAAAAACTTAGCGTAGACCCAAAAATACTATTAAACATATTTATTTACAACCTCACATTACCTATAGTGTATTTTATTAACAAAAAAACTTTGCCCCATACTAGGATTTTCTCCCGTGTCGTGGGTGCGTTTACAAACATACAAGTTCACATACACAATGACACCCAGACCCGAAACAACAATTTGTAACAAAGAACTGCTACGTGCGGGAATCGAACCCGCTGCACGTTGCACGGCAGCCAGTAGCCCAGCCACCGCACCAACCGTGCAGTCTTACCATAGTGTGTCTTACCATAAATTACTGATATAAATAAATGTTACAAATCTTAGGGTCCGTCCTCATCTGGCGAATGCGCCGCGTCCACCACATGATCTGACTATATTACCTAGTAGTTTGAAGTATAGCATATAGTAGTAGTTAATGCTCAATTGATGCATGCGTTTCGTGATTAAAATTAGCTTGTACAGTACCTAACAGTACCTTTAGACAAACAAAATAAAAACTAATAGGGAATTACCATTGGATGAATATGTATTCTTGATGGTGCGAAGTACATAGAGCTGTTGAATACGTTAGCATTCGTGTCGTACCATCCACCCAATATATGTTCCAACGTTTTCATGTGACCGTAAGATCTTAATATTAGTACGGTAGGGTTTGCAGTGGTAAGTACGTGTCGTGTTGTGATTACTGCACAGCCAGCGAGCAAGGTGTGTCTTCTATATGTAGTACAACAGTAGCAGCCCAAATTATATGCGTTTTCCTAAACAAAAAAGTAAAAGTAGGTGCTATGGTAATAAATGGATGGTAATAAATATGGGGAAAATTATCCAATAACGTCTCCCGCCTGGGTGAGGCGAGAGGGAGTGTCAGTCTCTTACTGACTAAAAACCACCCCGTTCCTACTTCGCACTTCGAACCGGAGCCCCGGCAACCCGTTAAGCCCTACGCGGCTCCGTATCAGAATCAGCTCTATTGGGTTCCCGATTGTAAAAGGTAATAGACCGTAAGCCAGCAACAGATTTTTGTGACTAATTTCCTCAGACGATTACTTGTAAAATGCTTATGAGAGTTGTGTTATGAAGCATTGTCAATGTCAGCTGCGGCTCCTGAACCTCCCAAACATGTAATCTTTTATTTTGACATTTTATCTCGATTGGAAATACGTCTACTTTATAAGAGTAATTGACAGAATATTTTAAAGAAAGAAAAGTGCCAGCAGATAATACATTGGTGGATTATACGTGAGCTGGCAACTCTCGAATATGGATTTTTTTCATTTCCTCTCTTTCAATCGATAATTTTTCAAATGAAAGTAATAGACTGCCTCATGTGGTCTCGGATTCGATTCCCGGGTTAGGCATTACTAGGTATCAGTATTACTAGGTTTTTTAAAAATTCTCAGTAGTAGCACGGAGTCTGGAATTGTGCCTGGTATATGGCAATAGGCTCACCCCCTTTTACATGGGACTCATAACATAAATAGTGAAAAGTGGATGTTACATTGTAGGCACATATAGTGGCATAATGTGCATCTCTGCCTACGTCTTCGGGGATAAATGGCGTGATGTTATAATGTTATGAAATTAACAAACAAAATCGTGAGTAGGTCCGAAACAAGAATTAGTACTGGCTTACTCAACTATCGAAATGTATGTTTATAACATATATTTCACTAGCTTTTACCCGCGGCTTCGCTCGCGTCACAAAAGGATAAAAAGTAGTCTATGTGACATATACCAATACATACAGCGCCATCTATACCAATACTTTTGTTTTCCCTCGGGAATATCAAATTTTTTCGGGATAAAAAGTACCCTATTATTTAATCCAGACTACTGACTTTACGTCTGCAAAAATTCAATGCAATCGGTTTAGTAGTTACGGCGTGAAGTCGGAACAAACAAACAAACAAACAAACTCACTTTCCCATTTATAATAGTAAGGATAGTAAGGATA